GACTTCAGCGCTCCCTGCGAATGCCACTTTGTCACTTGTGCGAGGATTCCGTTTGAAAGGCGTACATATACTTGTTATGTATAGCAAAAGCGTCTCTGAATAAAACTTAGCTGCGCCATGCACCATGACAATCGTTTCAAATTACGTAGATTCTATATGTCAGCTATGTCGAGCAATTTTCAAAAGTATGGCTAGTATTCTGCTTTTGAGGTAAGAAATGCTAGAAGAAAGATCACTTGCACAAAAAAGCATAGAGCCTTTTTTGCATGTCTTTCAAAGTCGACATTCAGTCTGGGTCCGAGAGAATACTCAAATAAAGGATAAGGATAAGGAAATGCAATGAAATGCAAGGAAACGCACAAAGACATTGATTGGTGGCATTCATCCAAACATAAGAGTTCTCGAAAGCGTGTCAAGCGTGCTGACGCTTTTATTCTAGCGCGATCCCCGTGTGTGAGAAAATGAGGAAAATAGTACACTGACTAGAGGAGGCACATTGGTGACGTCATGGTTTGGCGAACCCAGTGGCGCACTTGTGAATACCGATCTTACCCAGTGGGTTCGTTGGCTCGGTTCCGGAACCCACTGGGTTCCTTGATGAATACGGCACCAGGAGCGACCTTCTCGTACCTGCTTCAAGTCATTCGCGCTTCGCCGGTGGCGATGTTAGGGTAGCTAGCGGAAGCGAGGAGATCGCTAAGCTGACATTGAATCTTGCTTCCGCTAGCTACCCTGAATGACTTTAAAGGCGGCTCAGCAGAATGACAACTTTGGGATATTCATCGTTCTCGGTACTTCTGAATGAGCTAAGTCGAAAACTGTGCTTTGCAGCTTCAAAACATACCAATAACCCGCTTTTTCAGACATCAAAAGTGCTGTTTGGGCGGGTCGCGAAAGTAGCTGCTGGAGTCAATAATTTAATTGCCGCCGAGATGGTTACGGTGTCTCCACTCAAGCGCCAATCGTCTAGAGGGCAGGCATAAGCCGTCCGCCCAAATAGCACTTTCCACGTATGGAAAAGCGGGTTATGATATCTTTTGAAGCTGCCAAGCACAGTTTTGGACATAGCTCATCCAGGGGAACCGGGAACGATGAATATTTCAAAGTTGTAATTCTGCCGAACCGCTGTTCTTGAAGGCAATGGATCGCCAAAACTTAACACTTCAGGATTTTGACGCGATGGGTTGTTTATCGTCCAAGCATTGAACCAGTGCAATTCCGGTCGCACAGCATGCCTTCCCCGAGGAAATTGCTCTCGAACTTACGCGCGCAAGCCAATCTTACACGCGCTCGGACGAGCTGGCAATCCCCTCTCACCATTGGAGGCTGCCCACCGCAATGCTATAATCGTTGGGTTCTGCAACGATTCAGCGTCTTCAGTCCTGCCGCACTCGTCCAATTTCAAAGCGAAGGGCATTGGAGAACGCTCATTTTCGCCATTTTCAAGCTCTCCAAAGTAGATTTTTGGGATGAGCGCATTGGATAACCTCAGATAAACGAGAATTTGACTAGGTTAAAATTTGCCGAGCCACTACCTTTTAAGCAGGGAAAGGAGAAGACGGAAGCTGGGAGAGTGATTTCACAGAGTGAGAACCCCGCCCACCTGCTGTTCCTCCTGCCTTGAAGCCCTTTCTCACTGTTGTCGCGCTCTTTAGTGTGGATGTTTGACTCAGCGAATAAGCCCAGGTAAGCAAAATCTCACAATCGACTTTTTGTTCTGACGATGCCTTTGAAGGCATTGTCCAGGTCAACCGGGGTATCGGGATCTTGAAACAGTGGGAGAGCATGGCTCCTGACTAACGCAACAGTTCAAGTCCGATCGAAAATGGTGGAATCTGAAGCGAGAAAATCGCTTCGGAGAAAAAGGGGCGGTACCCCAATCCCGTCCCTTGACAACTTTTGACGCGGTGCAATCAATCCAGTAGACCCAGAGCATTCTCCACGTCAAAACTTGTCAAGGGGACGGATTGGAGTACCGCCCCTTTTCTCCAAAGCGATTTTCTCGCATCAGATTCCACCTTTTTCGATCGGACTTGAACTGTTGCGTTAGTCAGGAGCCATGCTCTCACACTGTGTAAGATCCCAGTACCCTCAGTTGACCTGGACAATGCCTTTAGCACACTGGCGAGAACGTGATCCACGTGGTGTTCAAGCACTGCACGTGGTACCTGTTTGCTCATGTCTTAAATTTTGTTAAAATGATTACTATATTGAAATATTTATTTTTTAAAGTCCTCCATTGCTCTGAATTTAGAGAATGCTTCCACGCTCTTCGGCTGCTTCTCACAAGAGAACGATACTTGGTGTCCGTGGCCTGAGATGAGATGTATACCATTACTCTCGTCTTGAAGCGCTGATTCCGAATCTGACTTCCTTTTTTGTTAATTGTTTCTCTGAAAAGATTTATGAAGGATTTTCACTCCAAAGGAAATATGCTCGGAATGCCAAAACCTCGTCACAATGTGATGTAGTGGCTAGTGCAATAGCCTCACAAGTTAATGCAGGCTTAGGATCGAGTCCTTTTTATATCTTATTTTATTTTATAAATACACTCGAGGTGCACCAGAGCAAAGAAATAAAAGAAGATCCAAACAAACAATGAGACCAGCCAGTCCTCAGCCGCAAGAGAAGATAAAAGAAAATACGGAATGAAACAGAACTCGAAGCTCTGGACCCAGCTTGTAAAGTTGAACGAAAGTAACTTGATCAAAAACAATCACATGAATCTTGCACACTCTAAAATTTGTGTTTTTCAGTTTTGAATTGCCTCAATCAAGCTTCTTTCTGTAAGTTAGGCATCCTCGACCGTATTTTTCCTGGGCGACTAGAGATGCGAAAATCCTTCATAACTTCTTTAGAGAAATGATTAGCAGAAACGGAAGTCAGATTCGGAATTAGCGTTTCAAGGCGAATGTAGTGGTATACGTATGTCAAAAGGCCGCGGACACCAAGTATCGTTTCCTTGTCAGAGATATTATAAGTCAACCGCAGAAGACAATCTGTACGATTTTAGCCAAAATTTTTCTATTTATTTGTGAAAGGCATTGCTCCACAGGGCAGATAACTAAGGCTCCCGCCAGAGTGCCGGAGTTATGCCAGCGCTACGCCAGCATTTCGATCGATACACGTGTATTTTGTTGGGGCGGGGCTAGCTGACGTCCCCAACGAAATACACGTGTATCGATCGAAATGCTGGCGTAGCGCTGGCATAACTTCGGCACTCTGGCGGGAGCCTAAGAACGAGCGTTGTCGTCAACGTGTCAAACTGTTTGCACTGCAAATAATCATAGAAGTATGAAAGAAGATAAAAAATTGCACGATATGCGGCCAAAATTTTCTGAAAATCTTTGATCTGCGGTATGTGGTGCTTATTTGAAAGATCGAAGAAGAATTTAAAAGACGATTTATGTATATACTAGGTTGGTGCAAAAGTTCATGCGCACCAATTTTAGAAAATCATAATTTCTTGCATGCACGATGGATTTGCACAAATTCGATTTTGTTAAATAGAAGAAACTCTTTTTTATGAAAGTACTAAATTCAACAAATTCACTTCAGCTTTGGTCATGTAATGTTAGGCCGCCTAAAAACCTTAAACCTGCAAGAAAAATCGGAGCAGGCACTTATGATCCAGCATCAGTTGGGCATCTTAGTGAAGAGTTGTGATTTTTTGAGGCAATACAAAACAGCAAACTTGATTTTTGCGGCATTTCCGCAAGGCATGACTCTTCCTTCACAGAGGTGTTCATTTGCTACAAACATTGCACTGTTGGAAAGGTGGATAAGACTCTTAATATACAGCTTACTTCGATTTTCTTCGCAAGTTTCAGATTTTTAGCGGCCTAAGTTCGAATGACTGAAGCTGGAGCTATTCCCTTGCCTCTATCTTGAAAGCTGCTGCTCACTGAAGAGCAGCAATGGCACTGTTACAAAGGAAAGGGTTTGCTTTATCTAACAAAATTAAGTTTGTGCAAATCCGTAAGGAGAGCATGCAGTTATGGTTTTCCACGGACTTTTGCACCAACCGTATATAAGCTTGCTGCATAAGTTCTGTTCCATTTTTTGCCATGTCTGCAAAGCAGCTGATTTTAAACATTTTTGTTCTTAATGCGATCTTAACTATGTCATTAAGAAGCGCTTTTCTTGCTCTTGGCACATAAATTTCACTAAAATCTTCAGTACCAGGATTGCAAGCCTGAAATCCCATGTGACCAGAATCTTCTCGAGTAAGAGCACAAACTCACTTTCATATCAAATTCGTCTAGCTTGTAAAAAAGTTTGTATAAATGTTCTACAAAAAATAAGTTTCGTTGACTAGATACAATGAGTCTAAAGTTGAACGTGCCAGAGTATACGGGAGCTAACAGGGCCACTTCAGCAGTTACTTTTCATCGTTCATGACAAGTGGAAAACATAATTGAAAATAGGCATATATGGTACTAAAGCGAGTTTGAAAAGAGCTTTTTTTACTTACTTAGAAAAATCTGTAGGCATCAAAGGACCCTATGGGCTCTTTTTAACTATGAAATATTCTCCAAAATTTTCTCTATCGAAAAGTACATTTGGCCTGTCGGTTCTCACAAGCAGAATCACCACGTCGAACAAAATAGGTTCAAAAGAAAAAATTTATAAAGTTTCCGAATTCTAGCGTCTTTTATATTAATGTCCTTTCTAAATTCTAAAAAACTTTTGATAGTCATAAATCTGCTCAATCTACTGAAGCTGAGATTATTCAAACAATTTCATGTTGAACGAAGTTCTCATATTTTGAATTTGAAGGATGCGAATCGGACAAAACTTATGCAACAACCCAATATATTTTGCCAAAATTAGCCCGATAGTTGCCTATAAATTTGTGCATCCTGTGTTTTTCGTGTTGTATCTTACAGACAGCCTCTAGATCTGAAAAATTGCAGAGTTCCAGTAGAGGGCAGGGCCAATATCTTACGAGTAATCGTAAATATGCTGAAAAACAAGGCGCATCTGTCATGACTACTTACGTCTTGAACACGTGAAAGGAATTGATTATATTGAGACGGTAACCCATCTCTGCCAAAGCAAAACATTTCCAAGCGCCAATATCCCATTGCGCCGTGCCCCCCAAGTCACAGTCCCACTCCTGAAACAATTGTGAGGTTAACGGTGTGAAAACTAGTACAAAGTGACTTCATCGTTACTTACAAGCTGTCTCAATTAGGTATTATCTATCAAAAACATCTGGAATATAGATTAGAAAATTAGTTATTGGCGAAATGCATTACTTGTGCTGCAGACTCTCCTTGTATGGAAATGGTGGTTGAAAACGATGATGCACCAACTACGCTAGCTCTTTGAGAGCTTCTATGATCGAAATTAAAGGCAGTGTCCGGGCAAAAACTCGATTTTGAGATTTTGTGCTTACCCGGGTCTATTCGCTATGCTGAATCCGAAAATCCACATTGGAGAGTGCGAAAACGACGAAAAAGGGCTCTAATACTGGAGGGAAATCAGCAAGTGGGCGGGGTCTTCCCCACGGTGAATTCACGCCCCCAGCTTCGGGGGCGATCTTTTTGATTCCGGTTTCAGGTCATTCGTTTGCACTTGATCGGTAGTGATGTCAGGGCGGCTAACGGATTCGAGAAAATTGCTCTGGAAGCTGGAAGTGTGAATTCACAGTGAGGAAGACCCCGCCCACTTGCTAATTTCCCTCCTGCGTTAGAGCCCTTTTTCGTCGTTTTCGCGCTCTCCAATGTGGATTTTCAAATTCAGCATAGCGAATAGGCCCGGATAAGCACAAAATCTCAAAATCGAGTTTTTGCCCGGACACTGCCTTTAAGGAAAATTGGCGTTGCTATGCACGGGAACCATTTCAGGCGATGCCGTTTTTAAAAATGCGTCTTGAACTCAAAGTGTCACATTCTTATGACTCTCTTCAGGTTTTATCAGTGCACATTCCTATAACTTTCTTCAAGTTTTATCTATTCAGCTCTAGTCTCATTGTTCAGAACCAGCGCTACATAATGCATCTGATAAAGGGTTTGAAATCGAAGAAGTCCATTTATTTAATGTGCACGGTGGCGTGAAGAATGTTGCTGCAAAAGTGCAGCATTGGTGTGACTTTCAGCAGACTTACTTTTTCAAGCTCTCGCTCTTACAGTCGTACAGCTCTTACAGCCCACTTGCTCTATACGAGATGTTACAAGAAATGAAAAAGGCGATTTTCACAAAACCCTTAATTTTATCTTAAAAAATTTACAACGTTGTTATTAGTGCCTTCTGGGCGGCCCGATATTCTGCGTGACCTATTACCATAGTCGCGAAATTTGCTTTTCCATTGCAGTTTGGGTTGTCATACAATTAGAGTTGGATATATGAAACAATTGCAAATGTTTGCGCTTTTTCAGGGTTTTCCAGTCGTTCTACAAATGTAAAATCACAGAGGACGTGCAACTCAGAAATACTGTGTTCTTTTGTATCAGGTAGTTGATGTAATACCTAGTAACCAATGAACCAGCGCAAAGCATTATGGTTCAAGCGGTTAAGTATGCTCCCTTTCTCTTATATGGTCCGTAAGCTGGACGCACTCCTTATCGTTGAGTAGAGGAAGAACAAACTTGGGACGAAAGCTATCGCGTAGGACAGCAGAGCAAAGTATTTTATGTGAAGATGTAGAGTCTGTAATTTGAAACGCTGTAGTTCGATCGTATTTATGTGTGTCTATTTGGCCGACTTGTTTCAAGTCTTGCAAATATAATAATCTCATATATAAAGCTGAGTGTCTGTCTGTCTGTATGTCTGTCTGTCTGTCTGTCTGTACGTATGTGCGGAATAGAAATTTTTATTTCTGAACCGATTTGGACCAAACTTGGCACACATATACTTCGGGGCAGGGAGCGTGTCATAGGCTACTTTTCGTTATCGATCGATATCGATTTTATCGATTTTTTGCAAAATTTGAGCCAACCCCTCCGGGGTGATCAGCATGCTCGATTACCCCCCTGTGCAAAATCCTAGCCCCCTAGCTCAAATTTTGCAAAAAATCGGTAAAATCGACATCGATCGATAACGAAAAGTGGACTATGACACGCTCCCTGCCCCGAAGTGTATGTGTGCAAAGTTTGGTCCCGGGCGGAGCCGGGTTTGCCATCTAGTTCTGCATAAAAATGAGCTCTTTCCAGCTTACCACGTCTTTGACGTTCAGTGCTTTCGGTAAAGGATCTTGATCTTTTCCATTATTCTGAGTTCCCTCAGTCAATTTCCTTCTATAGCTATTAATAAACTCGACAAAAGCAGTAGCATTACTGCCGACCACTACACCATCCTCACATTCCGGGTCGTTGCCTACTGAAATAGAACTCATGACAATAAGAAACAGTGTTCTATTAAAATGTGTTCCAATTTTTCACCTTTTCGAAGCATACTCGCCATGGAAATCCATATCTGCGCTTCTCAAAGCATGAAAATGAGCTTGAAACAAATTTTTCGGTCCGCATTTAGTGGAAAAATACATGTATGGGAACGAGAAAAGCTCCGGAACGATGGAAGGGGGGTGCTGAAGACTTCCGGCGTATTTTCACACAATGGAGACATGGAAAGCATCGAAAAGGGCTCATTTCGCCAATTTCATATGCTGAAAAGCCCAGATATGGGTTTGCAAGGACGAGAAGGCTTCGAATAAGTGCAAAACAGGAAATTCTGCCGGGACCCGCCTTCAAGAATGATATCTATTCAAAAGCTCACCAGCATTGCAGATTGCCGGCAACAGAACAGTCAGCTGAAAAGTACAACTATTAGGCATCTTCAACTCTACAAGCTCGAAAAGAAGTTCAGCACTACCGATGATATAACAAGGTAGACTCTGGCCATACTTCTATGTTCGAACTGGGTGGGCATCCTTTTATTGAGAGGTGTTCATTGAATTCACGAAGGGGGTCTGCCACGTACTTGACATACGTGTTTATTGCAAAACTTCTAAATGTAAAACACATTTGATTCAGCCGATCTTGTTAATTATTACATTTGCACAACTAGGTGCCTAGAATTTGATTTTGACAATCAGTTCACATTAATGATAAAACGAGACGTGGCTAAACGGAACAATAGACTTTATACCTTAATTAATCACGATACAGTGATGTACCATCGGATCAACTTAGAGCCGCATGCATTAACATCCTAGCCGGGGAGGGGATTGCAGTTTAGAAAAAAGTTTTATATACCAGAGCTTCAGATGCTCGAATTTCACGCTGTCTATCCATCCGTAAGTATTCCTACTATCTTTCACTATGAACATATTGAATAGGAACGAAAAGTTGTACAAGCCGCAAATTCGAGGTTTTTGTATGATCCCGCCATGATTCCTAGCGGACGACTATTTTTTCTTCAAAGTGAATAAAAACTCCAAAGTTGTGCTGTTTATCTACCCCAACAGTGCTAATCACTTTCTGGTAGAAACAAATGATGTCTCGAGGTTTTTGTATGATCCCGCCATGATTCCCTCGAGGTCATGACATTTGTGATGAACCAAAGTTGAAAGTTTATCGAAGATTTCGATATATCAGCAACTCACTTGTTCTTATCGGCAACATGCTCAGCACTGTTGGATTAGATGATCAGTGCAACTTTTGAATGTTCTCGTTGACTTTGAAGGAAGAAAAATGTTCACAACTTTTGTCGACCAATATGCTTAGTTTTCCAAACCAATAGTCCGCCATAGGATTGCTTGGAGAAAAAATTTTCTCATCAAAAAGTGTGTATCAGAAAAATGCTCTCCTTAATCTTCGATAAGATGTCGTTGTTTAATGGGATTAAAATTTGAGAAAAATTTCTTCTGCAACTGTTTGACTTTTGACGATGACGACATCGTTATTTTGACGACATTATGTGTGAGTTTGGCGCTAATTATGAGTTTTTGACTCTATCTCCCTCTGACTAATAAATATTTTTTCGGTCTTTTCGTGTTATTATGCTTCTCCTCAACATGAACAAGTTGCTTATGCTGCCCTTTTTCGAAAATACAGATGAAGAAAAAAATCGCGAATCCGAAGAACATCAAGAATGGTCAAAAGTCCTTTTGGCCCCAGGCTTTCGTTTCCACCTGTGAATCTGCAGTTAAGACGGGCAGCAATGCAGTCAAAAATGCAAATTATTCTTTTACATAAAAAAACCATTGCAAACATTTGGGTAGGCTACGAAAGCTCGAATCATAATACACTTATTGTGATTGCGGAAGCTCAGGCAGTATATCTTTGTAGGAATTTCTCTGAATCAACCACTCTACCAAATTCTGTTCTTCATTTTTCTTTCTTCTCAGAAGGTGAGGGAGTAGACTGACAACAACATCAAAGAGAAGAAAATGGCGTTAATGAGCATGAAATCAAGCTCTTCTTCTAGAGTGCAACATGTTTCGAGAAAAATCCTGTCTCAGTTACAAGTCATCTTGTCTTCAATCCAATCGTGTAAAATACTCTTTAGTGAAAAAATTCTCCATTCGTGTCTGCAACCTAGAAATAAAAAGGCTCAAAAATAAGCTTTGGCTACTCTTTTAATCTAATTTCTATGGCTTTTCCCTTCGTTGCAGTGTCAGCGCCTTGCTAGCGCCGTACTGGAATTGCTCGGCTACACGCTGAGTCCATGCAAATTGGCACGGTTGGCTTTGGCACGGCGCTGGCACGGTTACTGGAACGACGCTGGCTCATAGATAAACGACGCAATATGCACGACTTTTTTCCAACATTGTACGTATGTACAGTTAGATCAGGCGTGTTTTCTACTTGGCAATTATCGCCCTTGTAAGCTTCAATTCTCCCTTCCCGAATGAACTTCATTCTTCTTAACCATAAAGAAATTTGCTACGACTGTTCTCGCTAAAATTTCCAGGATTCAAACACGTCGTTTCACTTCTTTTCTTTGGTATCCGATAGGTGTCCTTATGTCAAAAGCATATTAAAAAGTGATCTAATGCTGTCATCTAACGTTTGAGCAAAAACAATGTACAGAAATACACATTCAAAAAAAATTTTTGTACCATTAGAAAAATTATATAGACCAAACACTCCTACTACAAAGTGAAAACAGCTAAGATATTATGTACATGGATTATAAACAATCCAAAGTGAAGTGTTAAATTCTTCGATTTATATGTATAGTTTCTCTTTCTGGCAAAGGTTTGCTCTTTCTTCGTTTTGGGATGGAAGAAACTCCGTCCGGCGCTTCTTTATTTGGCAATTGTTTGACTTCAGTGACAAATTCGACATCCTGAAATTAGAAAATATCGAGCATAGTAAGTCCATCTCATAGTGGTAATGGCCGCTAGGCGGAGTGGGAGGGCGAGGCTTGGGGAGGGGAGAGGGGAGGGGGGGGGGGAGGGGTGGAAGCAAGGAAAGCTCCAGAGAGTAGGCTCGATATTGAAACAGTTTCGTGCGCAATAAAGTCATACAAGCTTTATACAAGTCATTGAAAATATGATTAATTTTGCCTTAAATTCCTTTCCGAAACAGTGCCTGCAGCATCGTTTTCTGCCTTTAGCTTTACAACCTGCAAGAAGAAAAGCCCAAAATTTGGAAAGTGTGACTGATCCCACTTTTTTATCAAAAAAATCTTTCATCACTCAAAATCTTATAATTTTGAGGACCGCGAACTTCTCTCGAAAGTCCCGATTGAAATGCAAGTATATTCCTCAAATTAAGGTGCGTGCGGACTTGCCCTCGCCGGCGCCGTGCCAGAGCCGTGCCATAACGTCAATCAATTGATAAGCGGCGCATCGACATGGGTTGCAACAGTGAGCGCTATGTTCGGGTGATCAGTGAAAATTCCCTTTCCCCCCTCATACCTAAAAAACGTGGCAGAATTTCCGAAAAGTTCCATAAGTTGTAGAATAATATAATCGACTTGTTCCAGTTCTAAAAAATCTAAATTAGCCTCGTAAAAAAATTTTTGGCTCCCGCCATGCCCACGCCCTTTCCAAAATTTTGGATTATAATTCCCAAAAGAGTTGCTAAGCCTCCCAAATTTTGAAAAGCCGTGGCCGCTACGCAAATTTGCTTAAAAAATTACTCCTCCCCCCCCCACTCCTCGCGGCAGATTTCTCGGCGCGGTCGCTCTGTGGTAATCAATAAAAATCAAGGCTTTCACCTGGAAAACTGTGCGATTCACTGTCATGCCGGGTTTTCTGCGATCACTTCGATGCCTGTTTTTCCTCGGTTTCTTCTCCGTCAGTTTCTTCTCTATTACTTGATTTGGAAGGCCGTAGACTTCCCGAATTTCGTTTGGAGATTCTAATTGTGTGAGTGCCTTTTCCTCTGTTGTCTCATCCGGGTTCGAGGCTGGAGTTGCTTCTGTTCTAAGCGCAGAACTATGTTTTATAGCTCGGTTGCTAATGTTGTTAGCCGTTGCGTTGGCTTGCATTGATTCAGTTCCTGTTCCCTCTAAAAGCAATGTGGTAGTTATTGCGCCATCTTTTCCATTTACGGTTATTTTCGGCACAGCATCTATGTTGATAAAGTCTTGTGAAAAGCCGAATCCTTCAACTCCCGCATTTATACCGCTCGTTGTTGGCTCTAGAGAAATATTTGGTATGACGTTCCGATTCAGATTGCTTAGAGCTGGTCGAGGCTTCGGCAGCGGCTCAGGTTCGGTTCTTTTCAGGCTCGTACTGATGAAGGGCAGTTTCTGAAAGGGCAAGATTTGTGTGGGAAATGTCACAACGTCTTTGGAAAACTTGTATATGAGGAAAGTCAACGAAACTAGTAGCAATGGGAAGAACTGCGAGGAATTAATGAAAAGATGGCGTGCATTTAGACAAATGATAAAATGTCTAACAGATAATTCTGAGGTTCCTTTTCTTTTCTGAGGTATTATGGACAGTTTGAGGTTTTGCAGTACAACGTATTAATATAGAATACAAAATCAATCTCCCAACAAGATTATCTGTACTGTTCGTCTCCAAAATAATCAAAATAGCAAACAAAACCAGAAGTTTACCTGACTCAAGTTCGCATATATCTAGATGGAAATCTTTAGAAAGCAAAGTTCCTTTGTTTTATTTTTGAAAATTAGTAAGTTATTGCTTCCTAGATATGCCTTTTCAAGAAGAAAAATCTGTGACTTTCTAACAACTTCTTGGCTTCTTTCTCTTATGCAGATGTTATAGGAGCGATGAATCATTAGGTTTTTTTCTATTTTTTTGAAACTAGGAAGAGGGAGGAGTAATCCACCAACGTTCTCGATACAAGAACAATTTTTGATTGTGTGATGCGGAAGAATTGGTCCATAACTTTGCTTCAAAAAGTACAGGGCGGCTTGAAGAACAATAAAGATATATTTTCCTGTTCACACTTTCTAAATTAAACATTGTAATTGCCGTGAATTTTTTTCAAAAAACTGGCCAAGTCTTTTTCTAGCAGAAGAAAATGGCTAAAAGACTGGCTTTGTTTGGACGAGTTTTTTCTGCAATCGTTCAAAAGAATGATTGAGAAGATTGTGTACTCTGCCAAGCGAGTCGGCGTAGGTAGATCTTCAGACAAGAGAAATCACAAAAATGCGTTGCATAAGTTATCAAAAGAAATTTTAGAAAAATTCACCTCAATTTTTTTTGGATTTCTCCTCGCCGGATAGACATCTCCCTGAATGATTTGGAACATATTATTCCGCAAAAACACTATCTGAATAATCAAGCTTACCGCATGTAATCTGGACAACGTATCACTTCGCAAGCGCCTAATCGATAAGGTTGAGAAAAGTGGGAAGCTCTTTAGTTCCAGATTTCTGGAAGACAGATGAATAAAGAACAAGCGTTGTGTAAGATTTTACATATTTTGTAAGGCAGCCACGAAAATAGAGTACCAAACACCAAAAAACGTATGAGTGGCATTATTTGATGGAGCTCTTTCTTGCTCATCCACCAGACAATGTAAGGTTTAAAAATTCAGGAGTCTATTACTCAAGAGTTGGATGTAGGACTTGGCACGAGCTGGCACCAGGGAAATTTCGAAAGTCCCCTTTGACCCTAACCAAACGTCAAAAGCCCTAAAAAAGGAAACATCGACTAAAAAACATCGCAACTTTTGTGCCTTTTCGGCCAGAAAAACAATATTCCCTTTGCCTTTTTTTCCAAAAACGATATCCGGTGCTAGCTGTGTCGAGCCCTCATAGGATCGCTGCCGCAAAAAGTCTCATGATCCTCCAAAACCTAAGCAAAATTTATTAGGTACATACCCACCGTTATTGCTCGACAGAAAGCAATAGAGATGACGAACCTGGTCTTTTTTGTTTTATCTATAACTTGATTGTGCAAGAGTTTTGATAGAGAACTGTTTGATAGGCATTTTTAATGCATTCGAACGGTATAGAAAATGTTGCAGATACTTGCGCAGTAACTAAAATATGAAGATAAAACAAAAAAACGTTCGTCATACGTTACCGTGGGCATGTATACTTGCTAAATTTATGTTGTGGCTAGGATTCAAAAGGACCGGAAGAATACTAAGCACTTAGCGTGAGCCCTTCAATCCTCCCTCCCCCCCCCCCCCTAAATTCATTTGCACACTTCGAGTGTTTCATTATATGTAGACACCCTTGTAGGTTGTGCCTGTACGCGAGTTTTAGCTACGAAATACTCAATGAAACGGCACTTATTATGTACAAGAGATGATAGAGTTTTGTGGCGAACCGGTGTTGAATAGTTCAAGTGGCAATAAGATGAGAGTAATGTTTTAAAACAAGAAAAAACTCAGCAATAGTTTACTTCTTCAAAACTTGGCTATCTAACAAGAGGTTAACGAGATTGCAAATTATTACAGTTTATTGTGTCATCTTGATAACAGTTTAGAGCACGAAGTGTTTTTTGTACAGAATAACAAGCCGCAATTGGTACACATTCTCCACCTCCGGGCTCTGCACAGGTGGCCTAAAAGTAAGCTGGGTATCGTTTTTGGGACATAAAGCAAAGAGGGTTTCGTTTTTGTGGCCGGAAAGACACAAAATTTGCGACGTTTTTTTGGTCGACGTTTCGTTTCTTGGAGATCTTTTAAGGATTAAGGTCTAGGGGTCCAGAATGAAGGAGGACTTCGCAAAAAAATTGCAGAAGTCAAGGCTTATTTCGTTTTTTTTTTGCATTTTCAACTAGCCACCTCGCGCCGAGCCCTGCTCTACATATGTTTTCGAATTAAGCACAGATAAATAAACTTCAATGTCCTTGAAAAAGTTTTACCTAGCTACCGGAAGCACCCTTTCGCCGTCCACTCCTCGCACTCCTTGAAGATAAGCACTTCTTTGCGATCCTGAAAAGAATGGCTTATTTTCAAGAATTTCAAAGCTCTTGCTTTCCACGTACTTTTTGGTAATCGCATCGAAAATCTGGGAACATACGAAATTGAGTCATCATTTTCTTGTGAATATAAGTGAGCTCTTGCACGACGAGGCTTCAATATAGCTGGATTATGGAGTAGATTCAATGTTTTATCCCCACCTTTTCAGCGTAAATGTCATTCAAATCGCTATAGACACGATGAGGATTGTAGTGGTATGCATAATCAACTTGTTTGGGCTGAAAGAAGTTAGTTTTGTTATCTTAAAGGTGATATTTCTCAAATTATCTTCAAGGTGATATTTTGTCGTATTTGTAGATCCTAATAATTATTAAGAACAAGGTCACACTATTATGAAGGATTGTTTGGTGCTCAACACAAATTTTGTTGCTCTTCTGATTCTCAGACAAATTACGGGAACTCCTCGAGGGGCAAGCTAATTCGCTCAACTTCATTTAGCACGTAGGTGAATGGAGCCGTGAAAATGAGAACTTCCCGAGAACCTTGACATGAATTAGTGCTTCAATATGTCAGGGTTGATGGCTTGAACATTTTTTTGACGTCTGTAAATTAAATGATGATCGTAATCCATCAAATTCACACAAGCAATCTTGAAGAGAAACAATGATCAGCAAACAACAATAGCAAGTGAGATCAATCAAAAGAAGGTGTCTAAAATAGCATTAATAGTGCTGTACAGCGTGAAAAAAATACCGAAAAAGAATTTCACGAACGCATGTGCTTTGTAACAGATTTTTTCATGAATAATTTAATCTGCAACAGTACCTTCCAAGAAAGCCAAAAATGATTCGTGTAAAAAATTACACTTTTTCAAAATTCCGGAGAACTTCTGAAAAGTCTAGTCTTTGTAATGCACATTTCTCCAATGGCAATGGCAAACACATCAAAAGTTTTGCAATTTTTTTCTATTTTGTAGCTAAATATTTTTAAAAGCTCATCTTGGTTATAGATTAGCACAGGCTTTTATGCCTAGACAATTGCAGTAATTACACTAAAGAATTCGAAAACCTTGACTTATCGTTTTTCTTTTCCCTATCTTAAATATGCAGCTTATACTCGTACGTTTGTTTGTTACTTTTTTACGTTCAATATTTTAGAAAGCGAAGTGATAAGACCCAAGCTCTGAGAAAGTTCGGTAATTATATGATTGAAAAAGTTTTTTTTCCAAACGCGAACATAATTTGTGGAAATACTCTAATACTAAATGCAACAAATAATTAATTTTCACTACCTTTGTCAATCAGCGACACTTAAGGCTTAATGATAACACATTCAAAATATAACTTCTCGTTTGTTCTTTTTTACTGATTAGCCATTTCGACAAATCCATAACTTCCAAGCAAACGATTACAGATGGTTCTAAAAATAATTAGTTCTAGCTAATATATCATTTTCCACGATCGCGTGCGGACGAATGCAACCAATTAAATCATTGAGCCAATTAAAACCCCATTCCGGGCTTTTTATACGATCAGGCGCTGTTGGGACAATTGGTTGCTGTTTGGAGGTTTTTCGCAAGGAAGGAAGAACTTGAAGAATTAGGAAAGAACATGTATCCGATAATATAACATATCATTAAGACTAATATCGTAATCTTAAGATTGATGGAAATTCAAAGCAATCTGTCATTTTTGAATAGAAACAAACAAAAGAAAGCATGTTTAGAGCATATTGAAGAAGACCGTTTTAATCGTTGCAACTTTTTAAATGTAAATATGCGCTCTTCCGGTCACATAAACATTGGTTATAAGAATGTATTATTTGGCTTTTTTATCTCACAATTTTATAAAACTAAGCTATTTTGCAGTAGATTCTAAGCGGGGTTTCCTTTTACTAACATGTAAAGTTATCAGCCATTACTCAATTTTTCCAACTTTTCTTCATTCGTTGAAATTTTAGCGTTTATAGTAAGTCGCTTTGTCAGAAACTTACATGTGGAGTAAAGCTTGGTTTGCTCCAAAAGAAGGAAAGAAAGATTATCTCACGAAAGACCATATTTGAAATGAAATATAGAAAATTCTGTCGTTGTCAAAGAAACTGTTGGAGGCATAGAAATCTTCGTCAAAATGGAGTGTTTAGTCCTTGGCTTAGATATGACAAAAAATCGTTTTAGTCGAGTGATCGCTTCCGCCAATCTCATGATTTTTTTTCGAGATTTATAGACGGTTTCTGCAAAAAGTGCGGAGATTTCTTAGGAATTCCAATGAGGATGAAATTTATATAAGCTTGTTCTTCTACTATAATGCACTTATCCAAACAAATAAGAATAGATGTCATATTCACGTACTCAATTTGACAGAGTGCAAGGTCCAAGTCGATTTATGGAAAAAGAAAAAGCAGAGTATGGTTTTCACGGGTGTCTATGAATTTTTGAGCTTAGTAAACCAAGAATATAGGCAATCTCAATTTCCACTTCCCACTGAATGGACCGTATGCAGCAATTATGATGAGGCGATTGAATAAGATTGGTATCAGGATAATAGCAAAATCAGCAGCGGAATTGGGTAGCGAATTATATGATTCCGGCAAGTTATTCCTGAGAGCTTCTTCTTTGGAACTTTATTGCCGAAAATCCCCCAAACAAGTAGCCCAGAACAAATTCCATGTAATGATCAAGTAGAGGAAACATTCAACTTCGGAATTCGGTAGTTTTCCTTACCGTTTGCATTCGCCGATTCCTAGACGTGGGACTGTGATTTCTTATGGGAGAGACTAACTCAATAGTGAGAATGGGTAGGCTGGATATATGCCGTTGAGTTCGCTTTGGACGACGAACATGCCTGACGGATTGGGCATCGAGCTCAGTTATACAGAATAAGACGATCACTGGTAAGATAGATCGGCTGACCAGCATAGCTCCCATACGAGGGTGTGGTATTCCTTTTACGTCGCGCACAGTGCACGTTTCGTTTTTAGTGACTATTAAGTCGGGAGAAGCTGCTTCGTCAGCGCAACAGATGTCAAGTTTCATGGTTCGTCAAAAACATCATCACATGACCACAGCACCCGAACCGGCTAGCCCAGCCGGTTGGGTCTGCCTTTAGTGCCTTTAGTGTTCTGCGCCTAAGCGACGTTCAGTGACTATTCTAATTGAAATGAGTCGAAAGCCCCCACCCAAGGAAATGGAACATCAATGGTATGCACGACAGAATGGATTAACAGTTGGAAGTTAATGTATGCGTTCTTTTTCAAAGCGCACGACATATAGTTTGCATACTTTTCCTTTTGGGTTAACACCCCTCCTGATGCTTCCTTGGCTGCATCAAAAAACCATGGGTTTGTAGGTTTTGAATTCTGTGCATTTGCGGTGTCAACAACAATTGCGTGTGCATAGTCATGAGTCGTTCTATGAGCATATTTCACTTAATTACACGCATGACTAGTTCACGCGTAAATGCTTTAGAAATTGCGACGAAGCTAATGCATTGACGTTGAAATCTATGAAAGTAAACTTTAGCGGCTATAGACATAATTTTACAGCCTCGGCATAATGTCTGGAAAGTCCTAAAAATGTCGTTGAAATCACTCTCCAAAACGTAAAAGCTTTGAAAAAGGAAATACCTTGGCTGCAGTGGGCGCCTCCTCCCCCCCCCCTTGCGAGAATGGGTCGCGGAATTTTTGGAAGTTACTTACATGGGTTATAAAGTGTGCAAATGACTTCTATATTATTGTAAATAATTAAAATAATTCTTCGAAATTTTTGAAAGTTCAATTTAGCTATACAAAAAAACGGAACGGGAATTCTGGGTAAGCCGCTACTTCGCTGCTTACGATTTGCAGTGCCTCAGCTTTTCGAAAGGAATCGAAAAGTTTGCGTAATACAAAGTTAAGTCATAGAATAAGATATGCAAGGCAATTCAAGCGAAGTGCTCGGGATGCTTCTTTTCTCTCAAATTTGGGACACATTGCTGTAACCCAGATTTGGACAAATTTAGAGCGAAGCAAAATAATGACCCAAGAAGTGCCTATCAATATGTAGGTTAACAATGTTCAGTTCTTCTCACTGGTCATTAAGGCAAGCGCTCTGTAGCCAGTGTGTATATTGAACATCTCATCTTTGTGTACACTACTAGCGATAAAAGTTAGGCGAATAGGCCTAAAGAGGATGCTGAAGCGAGAGACGAAGATGCGGATGCATCACAACGGCTAGAGTTGTTGTCTAGCAGTGACGGTACAAAAAATTTCATTTGGTGGCGAGAGGCAATAAAATATTTTTTCGAATGCAATGCGGTCAAAAACGTGGCGTCAACCACTTCCAACATACTTGTTAGGATCTTCCAGTTTTGCGACCCTGTAGCGTCCAACACTGGTTTGATTAAGTAAATAACTCACTATGCTCCACGATGGAGCAAGGTGTTGTAATTTATCTTCCTGTCTAGATGTAAATATAATGCAAGTCGAGAGAAATGGATCGGGGAGTGATAGACATGAATACTCGGTTTACTCAGATTTATTAGGAGAAAATATAAGCTTGCACGCAATATACCAAAGAAGAGACGAGATCGGGCACCTTTCTGCGATAGTGTAACCTTTTTACGGTCTCCAACAAATGCATCGAGCGCTTAATCGCTCATAACTCTATTATGAGAATGCTTTTTGCGGACGTTTGGGCATCATTTTGTAGGGCTGGTTTAGCTTTCAAGGGAGTGCTCAGAAATAGTGGTCAACCCACACAAGCTGCATACCAGCAGATGAGCATAAAACGCCAAACCTGTGTTCTATATCTGCTTTTAGGGGCGTGTGGGCCGTTATGAGCCGTTAAAGTTCGTTATTTTGCTAAGAAATTGCGCATACAAAGCATAAGTTTGGCAATACAGAGCCATGTTCGGCTTAATGCAACCAGAACATGCAACTAGGTTACTTTGTATTTTTGAACATAAGCACAAGGGTGAGCGAAAGTGCAACAATGTGCTCAATTTCACAGTTTTTATATACGACTTTTTAGTAATATAACTGCTCATAACTTCGTCCATAAAGGAGCTAAGCAGACATGAAATACAGATTCGAAATCAGCGTTGAATGCCTTAAATGGTAGGAAGCTTGTCCTGATTGGCCACTTCGCGTTTGACCATTCCCTTGTTAGATTTACAACATAAAGGAGTTATTTATCGCTCACCATTACTTTAGGGTTACAGTAAGGGCTTTTAGCACGATTGTCGTTAGATATCACCCGCCATTCCAAGTACAAAGTCTGAAATTCATTGTGGTGGAGTTTTGGATCAGCTGATTCTAGTAATTGACCCGTAGTAAAGCTGCCTCATTCGATCTCAACTGAATAAAATTTCACTTGAGGCTTCGACGACTCAGCTTGCCCTTAGTTGTTGGGCCATTGATTGATGATGCCAACCATCCACGATGATATGATTGAGAGCACCATGTTCATGCAAGGGTACGAGTCAAAACGCGTCCGCTGGACATTCACATCTAACAATAAGTGATCGGTATCAGCAACGGAAATGTGGCCACACTTGTTAGAATCTTGTTAAAGATCGTCACCCTGCAGTGTGGCTCTCCACTCAGTATGTTCAACATGTTGATCTGACGTGTATCGTAAGTTACACAGGAGTAACTTACGAAGAGTTTCTCTGCGTATCATCATTTACACACTGGCCGGTAGTAAACCCCTCTCAGCGCAACTCGGCTGGGGACGGGCCTACGTTGAACGTAGACCGTCTCAGTCCGGCATCCGGTGAGCTATTGATTCGGTTGCTGATCGCTTTCTAGAATGGAGATTTTGTCTGTTCCCAAAAACTCAACACCTCGAGCATTTTTGGTCGAGCGGCTAAGCGAATAGCTTTCAACGCGCAAGACCGTGGTTCGAAGCTGGCTAGTGGCAGATTTCTGCGCCATCAGGACAATCATTGATAGCGGGCGCTATCGAGAAAAATCGATGGCGACCGCTATCAAGGCTGTCGCCAAACAAATAAAAGGATAAAGCAAATTCACCATATTTTGACGAGTATATCGTGAAAAACGAAAATTTTGGAGCATAGAGCAAATGTCGTTAATAATATTTGTTAACGACTGTCTTCGATTATGTGAATGTATCCATTCTGTCATGGACAAGTTGTAGATTGTCCATGCACCTGTTTAGCCGCCGGGTCACCCTCATGGCCCTTGATAATGCACTCGGCGGCGCCTACTTTCAAGTAGGCGAAACTTCTACTGCATTGATAGCATTCTTTGCCAGAAGTTGGCATCCAGGCTATACACGCCCAATTTGGCTGTATAAAAGAGCCTGGATACCAAGTTCTGGAGTCGTCACTATCGCCCAGTCGCTGTTCGTCACTATTCCCTGTGAATAAACTCGTTGTTGCCACCCAACTTGGTCTTTACCAAATTGGTGCATCGGCCAACGGATCGTCTCTTCGGTGCTGCTCACCGAAATTCGATAAAAGTCCCGCGTGGCAGGCTACTAACAGCCGATTATTCGACTCTCGTGATTGCTGGTTCATCCACTTTCGCGACCAAGAGTCTTACTAAGCTGTCAGGTCCTATCCACAGCTTAGTAGAGGTTTCTAGCTAACTGACTGGTTCATCCACAGTTAGCGACAGACTCCTCGCACTCTAGGCTACTAATTAGCCAATATTCGACTCTAGTAATTGTTGGTTCATCCACTTTTACTAATACGAGTCTTGCTAAGCTATCAGGTCCTATCCATAGCTTAGCAGAGGTTTCTAACTAGCTGACTGGTTCATCCAAAGTTAGTAAAAGAACTCCTCGAATTTTTTTGGCTTTTCAACAGCCGAAAAAGACTCTGTGATTGCTGGTTCATCCACTTTCACACACAAGAGTCAACTCGCTAAGCTATCAGGTCCTATCCATAGCTTAGCAGAGGTTTCTAACTAGCTGACTGGTTCATCCACAGTTAGTAAAAGAACTCCTCAAATTTTTTTTTGGCTTCCAACAGCCGAAAAAGACTCTGTGATTGCTGGTTCATCCACTTTCACATACAAGAGTCAACTCGCTAAGCTATTGGGTCCTATCCTTAGCTTAGCAGAGGTTTCTAACTAGCTGACTGGTTCATCCACAGTTAGTAAAAGAACTCCTCAAATTTTTTTGGCTTCCAACAGCCAAAAAAGACTCTGTGATTGCTGGTTCATCCACTTTCACATACAAGAGTCACCTTATTAAGCTGTCAGGTCCAATCCACAGCTTAGTAAAGAGGTCAAACTAGCTGCCTGGTCAATCCACAGTTAGCAGACGACCCACCCAAGCTCCTTGACGGTTGATCAACAACAGTCAAATCAAAAGCTTGCTGCTAGCTATCAGGTCAATCCATAGCTCAGCAAAAGAAGCTACTTCAAGCTTTTTACCTGCATTCAGTCCATGCGAACGAGACAAACTATGTTTGAATTGGCTGGATTCAAGACGCCCATTTCAATGGCATGCTCTGCAGTCAATAGCCTCGAGAGCAGAATCCTGAGCATAGACAGAGCATTTGAATTCCCCAACACAGTAACGGAATGCAATGTCTTCATAGCCGACAAAATGGCGGAAATCGACGAAATACAGATCTCTCTCACGTGTCTGCTAGAAAACCTGGAGGTCCGCATGCAAAATGCCATGACTTTCATTGGCGCCAAGAAGGACCAATCAGAGAGAGAAAAGCTGATGAATGATGATTCCTTCTTAACAACCGAAGCTCATCGTGTACAACTAGAAGCAATACACTGGACAAGCAAGTTGAAATATCGGATGAGGGAACTCGAGAAACAGTCAAGCCTGATAGACAATCTCCCTTCTTCAACCGCCCAGACTCCACCACAAGATACGGACACAGCTAGTACTCTCTCCGCCAGACAATACAGCGAGAACAAAGTGCGCCTACCGACACTTGAAGTTCCAACATTCAACGGAAATTACAAAGACTACCCAACATTCTGGACAATTTACAATTCACTGATTCACAGCAATCCACAGCTCAGTGACATTGACAAATTCCTCTTCCTGAGGCAAGCACTGAAAGGATCGGCGGCATCAATGCTCGGAAACATGCCAGTAGTAGGAGAAAACTACGAAAAAGCCATAACGCTTCTCGACAAACGATTCAACAAATCTGGATGCATAGCGGACTTGCTGATCACTGAGCTCGAGAAATTACCCCGAGCAAGAGAAGACGCTACCAGTTGCCGAAGGACCCTTACGGACGTGAACGAAAAACTCACCCACATTGAGTGCGCTGGAGTTTCACTGGATAACGGCCGAATGTGGAGAAGACTGATCCTGTCGAAATTCCCAGAGTCTATGAGTAAGGAGGTACTCAGGAAAGAGCAGAAGGATGGAAAGTCTCTGTTAACCGATGAGATCCTAGAAATTCTGGAAAACGCTGTTGCACTTCACGAAACACTTGCGCTCACAACGGGAACATTACACGATCGTATGACTCTGAGCCAAACCAGTCGGTCAAATTTCAAGGATATGCGTACACGAACACCAAGATTTGAGCCTGCTAGGAATATTGGCCAGAAAAACGGATCGCAAATTCCTTGCCTATGTGGAAACTCGTCCCACAGGCTTCCGCAATGTCCAACTTTGAAAACTCCGGAAATGCGTCGAACTGAAGCCATCAAGAGAAGAGTGTGCTGGAAATGCTTTGACAGCAGTCATCAATCAAGTAATTGCAAGAATCTAGGACCTTGTCCCAGGTGCAACAAGGACCACCATTCAGCTCTATGTACTGTTGATCGATTCTCTATGAATCCAACCTCGTCGACAACGACACAGTCACGATTTAACAACATCAAACGACCATCTAGAGGGAGAACAAAGACATCACAGAATGCCGAAGTCATTTCACCCAATTTGGATATGAGAAATGAGTCAGATGGATTACAATATGTACTGATGACAGCTACAGCTCTGGCCTTCAACTTCGATACGATGGATTACGAATCTGTTACCATATTCTTCGACACAGGCGCTCAAAAAAGCTTCATCACTACTGAGAAAAGCCTAAATCTTAAACTCCCACTGATTAAGACAGCCAGCTTCACCGTAAGCGGCTTTGGAGGAAAAGCTGAGACATTTAACTCTGACGAAGTATCAATTACGCTCAGAAATGTCATAGACGGACGGGCAATAAAGGACATCTCAATACACACGAAGACTCCTTTAACTTCAGCTATAAGTACAGCGAAGCTGAGCGCCGACGATAGAAGTTTTATTCGAAAGGAACAGATCAAAGTAGCACAGCCCACACTTGAAGACAAGGTCATCACTCCCGACATTCTCGTAGGCCAAGATCTAATCGACGACTTCATACTCAGAGATCGTCGTTGCGTAACTCTGCCATCAGGCTTGATACTCACACCGACAGTATTCGGTTATGCAATCTCAGGAAAGAGTTCAATCCAAGGCATTAAAGCTTCGACAAATACGAATACTATACTCGTTGCGACTCCTATAGTCAACACTGCAAAGGAAGAATACAAGCAGGACATTAAGAACTTGTACGAACTAGAATCCCTCGGTATCAAAGTGGACAAGGACAGTGACGAAGAAGCAGTTCTGCAGTTTATGAACAACTACAGAAGCACAATTTCAATTAAAAAAGGTAGAATCACAGCAGGATTCCCATTTCTGGACAACGTCACTCAGTTGAAGAGCAACTTTAACGTGGCAGTCAAACGCCTTCAAGCCCTAATTCGGATACTTCAAAACGACTCGGAAAAAATGAGCCTGTATAACGAAGCACTACAAGATTACCGGCATCAAGGAATCATCGAAGAAGTTCACGAGCATAGTACAGCTGGCGTAACCACCTTTTATTTGCCTCACCGTCATGTTTGGACGCCGGGGAAATCCACACAACTCCGCGTCGTCTTCGACGCGTCCTCACATGCGAAAGGAGAACTAAGCTTGAATGATGTCATACATCAAGGGTACTCGCTGACTTCCTGCATCTTCGACATCCTACTGAAGTTCCGAACTTACGATTATACGATGGTTGCGGATATCCAGAAAGCGTTCCTGCAGATCCAGTTACCTATTGAACACAGAGACGCGACAAGATTCTTGTGGATGAAGGACACATCTAAGCCTCCCATCGGTAGTAATATCAGATACTACAGATTCTGCCGAGTACCGTTCGGAATCAATGCTGGACCGGCAATACTGAATCAAGCGCTGCTCAAACATCTTGAGTCATTCACCAACAACACATTTCGAGAGATATCAGATATGCTGTATGTCGACAACGTCATAGTTGAAGGAAAGAACAACGAAGAACTCCTCAAGAAGTATCATGAATCTAAGGAAGTGTTTAATAAAGTTGGAATGAACCTTCGAGACTACCTCTCCAACAGTGCACAAGTCAATTACAAGATTCCAACGCATGATCGTGCTACTTCAACTAATATAAAAGTCTTGGGCTTGCACTGGTACAGCAACGAGGATCAAATAGGTCTAGTATGCGCTACAAAACCGTATACAAAAACGGCCAAACGATACGTCCTCAGCCAAATCAATGGACTCTGCTTCGATCCCTTAGGACTACTCACACCCTTGCTTACCACGGCAAAAACGTTCCTTCAAGACTTACACAAGAAGAAACTGGCGTGGGACGATCCATGGTCAAAGGAAGACTGCGATACCTGGGATGCAATCAAGAAAAATATGGTCCACTTTTCCATCCAACTACCTCGACGAGTAACGCAGCAAGAAGGATGCACATCCCGCACACTTTCAATGTTCGTCGACAGCTCGAAAAGAGTCTATGCTTGCGTTGCTTACATTACAACGGATACACAAGCTGGAGAGCGCTATACAAGACTATACTGCGCAAAGTCAAAAGTGGCCCCCATCGGAACAACTCAAAAAATACCAAAGCTCGAACTGCTAGCCATATTTATCGGAATGAATTTGCTGGAATACATTGTAACCAAGAGCGGACTGAAGTTCGATAAAATCAACCTGTTCAGCGACTCTACCATAGCCCTCGCCTGGATCCACTCCAAAAAGCGACTTCCTTCTCTTGTTACCAACTTGACACAGAAGATACAGCTGACTAGAGAACGTCTTGAACAATACCGGCATGTCCAAATTTACCATGTTCCCACAGAAGAAAATGTTGCTGATCATGCAACCCGCGGTCTTTCACAAGCAGAAGCCAGCGATCACGTATGGTTCAAAGGACCTCGATGGCTCAATGAGCAGGAGCAACATTGGCCTGTTCGTCAGGTAGAACAGCTAAGTCAAGCAGAAGAAGAAGACTCTCTCGCAATAATTGCCACTATGGTAACACCTTTCACCACCCTGACAAGGCAACCAAGAATCTGGCCTACTGAAGCAGTCAGTAGCTATGACAAGCTCGAAAGGATTGTTGCCTATTCCTTACGATTTGTACGCAAAATCAGCAAAGGCAAACTCTATCAACTTGACGAGCACTGCGAAACGTTCGGCGGCATTCCGAATGCCCAAGAGATGATAATCGCAGAACGCCACCTACTTCGAGAAGAGCAACAGCAGTCTGATCTGCAATCGTTCATAAACAGCTGCAAAAACAAGACCATCAAGGAAGACCTACATGGAATTACTAGAAAATTTGGTCGCCTACAAAACTCGGATTTGAACTACGACACCATCAATCCAATCTACCTTCCCCGCAAAGGACTACTGAACGCTAGAATTGCGGCGCAGCTACATAAAGACTTGTTTCATTGCGGCGTCAACCAGCTAGTCAACGCTCTCCGCAAGAAATTCTGGATCCCAGCAGACAAAACTCTCTGCAAAAAGATTGTCCGAAACTGCGTCATCTGTCAACGCTATAATGCGGTCCCTTACAAATACCCACACATGGGACCACTACCTTCCGAAAGGGTTACACGGTCGCCGCCTTTCAGCTTCACTGGAGTGGATTTCATGGGACCAATCACCATCAAAGATGCAAGTGATGAGGACGAAAAACGATATGTCGCCCTATTTACCTGCTTGGTGACACGAATGATACACCTGGAAGTAGCGAAAGACTTGTCAGCAAGAAACTTCCTGTTAGTTTTCAAGCGCTTCACGGCAAGAAGAGGTGTTCCGCTGAGGATAATAAGCGACAACGGCACCAACTTTCGCCTGACGGAAACCATCCTTCGGCGCGATGATCCGCCCTCATGCTCACCAGTATCACTCTTTCTTGCCAAACACAACATTCAATGGAATTTCATTCCACCAGCTTCTCCATGGATGGGAGGAGCATGGGAAAGAATGGTCGGGACAGTCAAAAGGGCCTTGCTCAAAACGATAGGAAGACGAAAGATCTCAGAAGAAATTTTTGCCACAGTCCTTTGCGAGATTGAAGCTGCAGTAAATTCACGACCATTAACGACAATCGGAGAAGCTGCTGACAACAATGAAGTACTTCGCCCAATCGACTTCGTGTACAAAAACATTCGACATGGCATCGAAGTTATACGACAAGACGAGCAACATCAGGAAGACCCTCCATACCAACCTACTCCGGAAATTTCCACGCAATTGGACGCAAAGAAGGCCATTTCTGATGCAGAGACACTTACCAACAAGTTCTGGGACAAATGGAAAACAGAGTATCTCTTGGAACTGCGCGAACGCCACGTACTTTATGGAAGCAATTACAAGTCATCGAAAAATAATCCGTGCGTTGGCGACATTGTGCTTATCGATGATGATCTGAAGACATCCAGAGACCACTGGCCAATGGGTGTGATCGAGGACTTAGTCAAAAGCAAGGATGGAGAAGTACGAAGCGCCGTACTTAAAACCGGAACTGGGAGATGCGTACAGCGTCCCATCAATCGCCTCATTCCACTGGAAATTCGTGCCACAATGGATTCGAACGCAATGACAAGCACTTCACACGACAATGAGGAACCTCAGAGTAGCATACAAGCTCTACCACAACGCAAACCTCTTGAAAGAAAGGCTAAAAAACCCATCAATTATAACGAAAACGTGGTATTACCGAAACGTCGTCCATGGAATGCGCTCAGCATTTTACTAGCCTTGACAGCATGCAGCATTGTACATTCTGCACAAGGACAAGTGCTGAACTGCACGAACACTGGATTCATACTCAACTTATCGTCGATTCCGGACGTAAACAGCAGGAGTGAAGTATGTGTCAATCGCATTCATTGTCAGAGCATACACACGGATCAGCAACCCATACAAAGATATCTACCGCCACATCAGCTAACTAACCCATATTCTGTGAAATGGCGTGCTATCATGAATACCACACTATACGAAGAGGAAGTGATGTGCCCAGAGCAATCAGTGTGCAATTCCATACATTGCACATTCTGTCCCCTTCTACTCGGCAACCCACGCTGTTTTCCGAAAACAACCATCGCAGTGATAGCTACGGTCATTTACATCATTACACTACTCACCACCATCTCAACATATCTGGTGGCACGTGCAGCAGTCATGCTCAAACAAAGATGCCGTTCGCTCAAAGACTCGAAGCATACAACGATGGGTTCCACGACAACAGAACAAGCCGAAAATGTGGAAATGCATCCGAATACCGATACGCAAGCACGTCCAAGGAAAACTTCCGGCGGTCATTCGACAAGATCCAAGCTCATCTTCTCGCTTTCAATACTGGCTGTAACAAGTTGCTGTCAGCACACCCATGTTCTCAACACCAAGGATCTGATTTGCACCGACTTTCTTGGAGATTCAAGATGTAGGAATGTCGAGGAGCATACCTTCGCAATGAGCAGCTTCAAACGCGAAGTTTGCATGAAGATCATGTACAAAGGAGAACTGATCGCGACATTACATATACAACTCGACAGCATAAGATTTGAGTGCATACCTGTCACTCACTTCTTCACCAGGAACGCTGAGCTTATAACAGTCTCTTCCAAACGATGCGCTCAAGCCGGCAGTTGCACGCAACAAAGATGTCGCACAATCGCACAAAACTCGTTCGTTCCGGAATTAAACGGCTCATACCACCTTCCTGGAGTGACACGATGCCAAGAATCGTGTGGAGGAATTGGTTGTGGGTGCCTCACCAATGCCAGGCTGTCTTTTTTCCCGTACCTATTCAAAACCGAAGGACGACCTCATCTACAAAGTCTTTTCCTGTCCTGTGTGGAATGAAAAAGCACGAATACGAGCTCGATTAACCTTCGTTACGGGCAAGGAAGTGGTGACAAACATGGACATATTACCGCAAGAAACAGTGAGCATGGACAAGATGAACTTTACCCTTGACTTCATTACGACTTCCACAATTTCCATTCTGGATCGGAAGTTCGTCCAGGTGTACAACCGTACCAACCCGCAGACCATGATATCCCCGTCCGACGACACGTTCGCAGTCAAGTGCAGCACATCAGAGGTCGCAAAAAATTTGACAAAGTGCCGTGTCATGGATACGTGCAAATGCACCTCAAGATCCACACTCGCTGTTTGCTACTGCGCCAATGTCAACATCACAGAAAGGATGGATTCCTTGGATACTATGCTACCCTGCACAGCTCAGAATTTTCTCTGGAAGCCGACGAAAATTCAGTAACAGTTGTAAGCCACACCTCCATCGCAGAAGTTTCCTTATCAACTGAAGCCAGATGGAAAACTGCTACGGTTATCATACCCACCAAATGCGAGATCCACGCCTCCGAAGCGAAAGGCTGCTACAACTGCCTCCAAGGAGCAAGACTGGTCTTCACATGCACTTCCAAAATCAGGACAATTGCAGAAGTTGCCTGCACTGATCATCACTACACGATAGATTGCGGACCGAAAGCAACTAATACGACCGTACTAATCAGTTCCAATACCGCCAACTATGCTGCACAATGTAGCACCCAGTGCGGATCACAAAAACATGATTTGCACATCATCGGATCGCTTTATTACCACTCCATATGGAAAGACGATTTGGAACACGCTAACATTGAAACGGCCAATTACGTGGACTTAATCAACATTCCTAACCTCAGCAACATAGCTCAGGTTATGTCTCACTGGTGGACCACTTCGCTTACAGCAGCAGCTGTAGTAGCATTGTCAATAGCTGCCACACTGATCTGTGGACCTGCTCTGTTTCGCAAATATATGTTCTTCTAGGACATAACATAATGCAGCACACTCACATGTACATAATATCTGCACTCTCGCTAGTCCCCTTAGGCATCATAGCCTGATAGTCCGCCTAATTTTTTTTTCATGTGGTACCTTTTTTGTTTACACTCATCCCATTATCGTACTGGAAAAAAAATTCTTTTTTTTCATGTGCTATTTTATTACCTTGCTCCTATTTTTCTAATAAAATTTTGTTCGCTAGTTCCATTGTTGATACATTTCATACACTTCTCCATTCTACAGTAGAAATATATATCGTGCATCATGCACTCCTTCCGGCCCGCCCCCAGTGTCGTTAATAATATTTGTTAACGACTGTCTTCGATTATGTGAATGTATCCATTCTGTCATGGACAAGTTGTAGATTGTCCATGCACCTGTTTAGCCGCCGGGTCACCCTCATGGCCCTTGATAATGCACTCGGCGGCGCCTACTTTCAAGTAGGCGAAACTTCTACTGCATTGATAGCATTCTTTGCCAGAAGTTGGCATCCAGGCTATACACGCCCAATTTGGCTGTATAAAAGAGCCTGGATACCAAGTTCTGGAGTCGTCACTATCGCCCAGTCGCTGTTCGTCACTATTCCCTGTGAATAAACTCGTTGTTGCCACCCAACTTGGTCTTTACCAAAGCAAATGAAAAAATCAAAAAATCTTTGTTTCATCAGTTTTTGAAGGAAAAACGTAGGCAAGCTCTGAAAAAAAAAGAAGAAATTCAAGAAATCCTGTTTAACTGAATGTGAACTGATTTAAGTAAGGTAGACGACCCCGTCAGGTAGACGAACGGTCAGCTGAAATTTCATTTTGCAATCTTACAGCATGGGAAGGTGGTGATCGTCAGACTACCTTACCGATCACGGATGAGGGCCTCAGTTCAGTTCGCCTGGACTTAGTTAGCTTTACTACGGGCCATTGTCTTTTTACATCTTCATGGGCAGTTTAGTTAGTACAATCATGTTTCCGATAAATTGGGAAAAGCGCTTTTACAGTGTACTCATCGTAACTTTTAAATTTGCGGGATGGCAAGCTCACATATTTAGCACTGGTTAACCGGATAAGAAATTTCTAGCTTCACTGCATCAAAGCAGGACATCAAAGATCTGAAAGACAGCGTTTTCAAAGAAAGAGAATCTTACATTTCAAAGGTAAGGCTCAACCACACATGTGACGAAAAGCAAACTTTTCTTTTCAACTTTACTTGAGACATAATTCATATTTCGCAGAGCAAAAATGAAGTATGTATTGGGTAATATTAGGCAGGCCAAAAAAGTTCGATCAATTTTAACTGTTTGTAGAATTGCTACAAATTGATTTAGTATATAGTACCAATGAAAAGAGCAAATTAAGGCGAATCGTATGGACAACTCTGTTCGTTCGGAAGTCATTCTTTCGAAGACGAAACACTACAAGAAAGAAGAATAGTCAATTTTCAGCGTCATGCTCGAAAAACGATGAAATGGTTGGTTATCTTCAAGAGTTCTAGAATGGCCAAAAACTGAGTTCCACGCGCAAATGCCTGGAAATTCTCACATTTTCAGCTTCAAACATCACAAACAGCAAATCAAGTTCTCCATTGTGGTTCGCCACATAGCCACAGCTTGTATGTATCCAATCAGTATACCACTCGTCTCTGCATTCATTGGAAACTGAGAACGAGACTTAGGAGTCAAAAAGGATTTTTTAGAAGAGTGCCCATATAAGGGCATAAGTGTCATGTGTTGATGAGGGAAAATCTAAAATACCTGATATGTGAGAGTAGTGGCTTAAACCTACCTCCTCACAAAAATCTTCGCTAAATACTCAAATACTCAATACTACTGATGTTACTCAAATTGTTATAAAGCTTCAAAGTTGCACGTGAAACCGAACTCGATTAATGAACAACCTAACTGTTGTTATTTGTAGAGCAGTGGTATCTACTTATATGGAAGCTGGACTGCGAAGTTCTACGCTCAGTTCATTTCAGTTGAAGTGAGCTAATTTGACAATGTTTACGGAGATTTCACACTTGCTAACAAGTTATGATGTTAAGAAGAAGCTTTTTTTGGTTCTTGGTGTTTTCACACTAGCCGGATTCGAGGCTGAGAGCTATACTGTAGTTCCTAGGTGCCCCTCATCAGTAGTTCCCAAGTAAACTTCAACAGTTTTCAAACATTGAGGGAAGCCTAGAGAAGTGCAAAGAATATACTGGAAACATGTGAAAAGACGAGTAATTGGGAGAAGTTACATATTGCCTCTTGCAATTCATTTGAATTTATTTTCGCCCAATCTAAGTGGTCATTCGCGCTGGTCCATATGTCTTCTAATTCATGTATGGAAGATGTACTGCTGAAGGAAGCCCATATTTACGCATAAAATATGTTCGATTATAGAGGCATTTGAATAAATCATTTGATAACTTTTTCAAGAGTTTGTATATATGATTTTGTCACTTAAGAGTCAAACTTTTACAATTTTTGGTTTTGATAAATGCTTCTCGAATTTTTCGAGTATTGCGCATATTACCGAAGAATAGCTGCTATAAATACTCCCAGAAAAACTCTAACAAACTCATCTCTTTGAATTGATCGAAAAGTGTGGCATACTTGTGCTGTGTATATCTTAAAGGCAGTGGACCGGCAAAACTTGACAACCGAGGATCTTAACGCAGTAGGTTCCTTATCATCCAAGTATGAAAATAGTGCAATCCCGTTGCACAGCATGCCTTCCCTGTCGAGAAAATCGCTCGCAAATTTACACGCGAAAGCCAATCTTACACGCACCCGGACGAGTTGGCAACTTCCTTCTCACCATTGGAGGCTGCCCGCCGCAATGCTACAATCATTGGGTCCCGCAACGATTCAGCGCCATCAGCCTTGCTCCACTTGTCCAATCTTGAAGGGAAGGGGGTTGAAAAACGGTCGTTTTCGCAGTTTTCGAGCTCTCTAAAGTGGATTTTCGTGATCAGCGTATTGAATAACCCCAGGTCAACGAAAATTTGACTAGGTTGAGATTTGCCGAGCCACTGCCTTTAAAGGCAGCGTCCCCTCAAATTGGGATGTACCTAGATCTCACTGCGTTGCAATGGTAGGGCTTCAGACTAAGCGAACAGTGAAATGCGCAGCAAAAAAGGGCACGTGAGAGGCCTAAAATTCGTCTCGGAAGTCTTACGGACCCCGCCTTTTTCCAGACTCCGCCCACCGCCTAATTGAACACCCAAAGCCTATAACTGTGCAGCTCTTGCAAACCGTTGCCTGGCGCCTTGTAATACATCAATCGATTGTCTACGATTGCTGATGTTTTTACTTAAAACAATATGTTTCTCGCTTTCATCGCGTACGTGATGTGTGTGACCTGATTCACTACTGTTTTTAGGAAAGTTTTTAATATATAGAAGATGGTCAATGCACTCCACAACAATGCGCTCAAACATGGTGAGTTTCGGACGCTTAGTTAGCAAAAAGAGCCTACTAAAGCTAGCAAAAGTGGATATCATTGATTTTCAATGATTGCTTTTTCAGCTTTAGGGTAATTTGCGTCGAAAGAATCAAAAAGAAGCTATGCTTATCATAGTATGGTATGTGCAAAATGTCCAATGTCGCTGTTATATTGCTATTCTGCTGGGGATGTTGAAATGAGGTTGGAAGATTTGATGCAAGTTCGCTGTGTTGGTGCATATCAGTGCTGTAAAACTTCAGTGCACAACGAGTTTCTCATTTGGGAGCCGATGTATCGTTTTCGTTTGCTTGCGGCAAGTCTCAAATACCGTCTGAGTTTTCAAGAACAAACCTTTGCAACGCGAAATGTTCTACGTTTACTTGCACTCTTTCAGAGTAAGCGTTGCTCATTCTCCATTCTATCAAGCTTCGAATTGGAGCGCGATGTATGTAAGGATATGCAGCTGAATGGCGATGTAAACTACAAATGTTCCGTAGTTCTCAGCTTCCGGTTTCTACAATTTTTATAAAGCTTTGCAGTTGACAGATCTTTGTTGTTTCATATGCTGTCGCACTCTCACTCGTCATTGTTTTTCCCAGTTCCAAAAGAATCATATGCTCAAAAGGTTTATTTCACATCGAAATCGATTGCGCATATTTGAACAACGAGGCGCCAAGCAACGGTGTGCGCGGCAGCGTATAACTCGTCCATGTCCACCCTGAAGAGCTTCTGGAAAAAGCACCTTTTCGCCATTTTGAAGCGCTACAAGCCTCATCTATGTAATCAGCGGCCCGAGAAAGCCTCAAAAACGCAGAAAACCGAAAATCGAGTTTTTGCCGGGACGCTGCCTTTAAGGGATTTTTCTATCACACCATTATACATATAAGCAGTCTGAAACAGCTCCAATGACAGAGATACCTTTAATTATGAATCTAAATTTGTTGTTTGGCTATATGTGAATCTTTACAGTTTCGAAGTTGTTTGGAGTTGTTCTGGGCGTAAGTCCATGGCTGATCTTCTTGCTTGAATGACGTTGTTGCACTTTTCTGTTACTGCTTGGAGGTAAAGGTTGTGATACATGTTTGAGCGTTCCTTTTGCGACAAGCGTAGTGTCAAAAAATGCATGAAGTATACTTGTTGATGGAGCAAAGAAAGCTCTACTAGACGATGACCGAATTTTTACAAAAATCATAATTTACCTCGAGTTTGAAGCTCAAATCAAAAAGTATTTAGCTACACCAGAAATCGGATCTGCTCCAAAAAATCTTACTAACTTCCCACTTGGTCATTACATAGTTGACCCGTAGTGAATACATAATCGCAGTTGCTGGTTCAAACAGCGAATGCATAAATGGATGTTTGTGTTCATATATGTACCGAGTGGGAGACTTTTAGGATTTTTCTAGGTTAAAATCCGATTGTTGAGGCACCCAAGGTTTTCGAATTTTTGCTTCAGTCTTCATGCGAATTAGAATTTATGCGGATATCTAAAAGCTATAGGGCATGCTTTTCTCTTCCAAATATTGCACACCTTCTTATGATCAAATCGCCGCTGTAATAGAAAAAAGC